AGCTTATAATTTTCAGTGTCAGTTCTCGCAGAGATCTGAGTATCTTTCATCTGCTTTACTGAGTAAGCAGCTGCCTTTCTGATACTGTTCTGAGCTTTAGAGAATCTCAATTCTCTGTAGTCAGCTTCTTCTACAGTGATGACAGAGATTCTTTTATAGAATTCTTCTTCACATTAATAATATTATAATTCAGTTATTTAGACAGTGTGTTGATGAGATTAAGCTGATCTGAATAATATTAAATATAGAAATCATACTCTGAAAGCAGCTTCACTCATCTGACTTAATATTCTGTTAAGCTCTTTATTATCAAGAAGTAATGCAGATTTGCATAATCAGTGAGAACTTGCACTGAGTACTTACTACTCTGAAGATAATGTTATTAGATCTTAAAGAATTTAACAATTACTAACATCTTCTGATCATGAGTATTATATCTTCTCTGTGTGAGTGATAACTTCTTAAAGAAGAAGATCACTGATCTTTATTCACAGTATCTTATAGACTCTGTGAAAAAGTCTTCTTTCACAGATAATTCATTATCTATTTTCTCAGAGATAATTATTCTCTGATTCTTTCAATGTTGAAAGATCTTTAATATCAACTGTGAAAAGATTTCATAGATCTTATTTCTGAATGTATCAGTCTTACACTGACTGAGTAAGTCAGAGTCAAAGTAATTCAGTATTATAATATCTATGAAAGCTTATTTCAATTCTGCAAACATCTACACAGTATCTTGAATAAGAATAAATGATTCTGTTTTTCTGTCTTTTATACTTCTCTTTAACAGATCTGTAAGAAGAGCAGTAATTCATGAATATATATAAAGGAATTATCTGTAGAAATTCACAAATTCTAGAAATATCTATATCTCACAGTACATCTGCAGTGCTGATCAGTTCTCAATGACAGAGACTCAGCTTCTATTTATTGAAATGCTGTTCATCTCAATAATATAATCTAAGAAATCAATCTCCTGCATGTAGAATGAGCATTTTTCAGTGTTTATATAGAGTTAATACTGTCTCAAGTGACTCAATACTTCTCAAACATGAGTATCATACTCTTTCTCTGATTTCAAGAAGATTAAAATGTCATTCAGATGTACTATGTAGAAGACATTGACAAGATCTCACAGTATCTCATTTATATAGATCTGAGAGATGACTGAAGTGTTATAAAGATTAAAAGATAAAACAAGATATTCAAAATTACTGCACTTAGTATAAAAAGTCATTTTTCAAATGTTGTCTTTATTAACTCTGATTCTATGATAGATATTCTGTATATTAATCTTTGAGAACATCTTTGCTTCAGATAATCAATCAATCATCTTATTAATCAATAATAATGAATAGTGATTCTTAACTATCATTTTATTGAGACCTCTGTAGTCTATACATAGATATAGTCTATCATTCTTCTTGAGTATAAAGAGTATAGATGTCTCTGCTGAACTCTTTGATAAATGTATTCAGTTCTTTGATTATACTTCTTTAAGATATTTATACAGAACATTCAATTTCTTTACAGACAAGTTATAAAAAGATCTGTATAATATTATTATACTGTCTTCAAGATAAATCTTATATTATATCTTGATATTAGAAAACTTCACTACTTCTCTTTCTAAAAAGATATTCTTAAAATCTGTAAAGAGATGTTGTGTACATTCATCTTCAATAACAGATACTGCTGCTAATCTTGCAGTGAGAGTGATGACTTCTTCATCTATTCTTAAGTCTTAATTATCTACTATACAGTATATCAACTCAATCTTTTTCTCAAGATTCTTTTAATAAAACTCTTCAGATTTCTCTATCACTGTCTCTTCATTAGTAAGGTGATACTGACACCTGAATGACTCAGTCAATGAGAGGATTGTTTTCTCTCAATTACAGAAGATCTAGAATGACATTCTCATCTATGATATTAACTATATGAAGAAGCAGACTGCTCTTCTTAAAGATTTCTTCTGAGTCTGTGATCACATACTTTGCTTAGATTATGTTAAAATAGTGATATTTCATTCTATTAGTAAATTTTATATGATCTGACAGATCTATCTTCTTTCAATTCTTTATTAAAGAAAAGGAATAGAATATGAAGTTAGTATTTATCTCAGAGTTGAGTAGATATCTCACTGATATCTTCTTATTTAAGATATGCATTGTGATTATAACATGAACTTAGAGATGTAAGAATTGTCAATTCTTTTCTTTCTCTTCTTTATCTTCTACAGATATGTTTGCTAGAAGAGAAGTTAACTTTGAGAAGATATCTTCTCAGTTTCTTCTCTTCTTCAGCTTCTTACAATCACTGATATAGTAATTACCAACTCTGCAGTTGAAACAGAGATCTTTATCAAATCTTTTTTAATATTTCTTCACAGTGAGTGAAGAATCAGAATACTTGAAATTCTTCTTTACTTTCTCTACACTGAAGCTATCACAGTACTGTTTATATTCTATCATAAATTACTTAGAAGAGGTCTTATTAATCTTTTTCTCAGAGAATTGATTATTTAAATAGATTCAGAAAGTCAGATTGACAAGCTCAGTATAATTAATTAATAAACTCTGATATTATAATATTATTATTCACATCTTATAAGTCAGCTTTATAAGATAAAGCTGTGTTTTTAATTAATTCAAATTATTAGTTAATTTCTCTCAATATTCTTCAAATCTTGCATTGAAATTGAAAGAATTCTTATTATCTTATTAATATAATGAGTTAAACTACTATATTACTGTGAAGCTGCAGTTGCAGTGATCTTTGATTTAATTCAGTAGAAAGTTCTTGAATTCTTCTTAAGTTATAATAGTATTAATACACTCAAGCTCTCTCTTCTTAATAACTCAAGTAGTTGCAGAGATGTCTTTAAGAAGGTTGACAGTGTATATTACTTATATCTCATAAGTATTATACTGACTCAGATTAAGATGGAATTTTCATTCAAGAAAATAGACAAAGCTGTGAAATTCAGATAAGATATTTTTCTTATATCTCAGTGAATCTCTGATCTTAATCTCTCTATCTTTATAATAGATGTAGATGTGTAGAGGCTGTGATAATAATAGAGTGATTAAAGAGCTCATATTAAAATATACAGTAGATTCAGAAATCTCAGATTTCTGTTAGAGTAGAGATATACACACTCTAGAAAATAATATAGTGTTTTCTTTAGAGAGTGAAGTTAAGTTAGTCTCAGTACAGATGTATAAGACTATATTAGTCTGTTAGAGCTTGACTGATTCAAATATATAATCAGATTAAGTGATTTAAATTATAATATAATAGAACTGAAGTAATGACTAGTCAGTGATATTATATAGAGATAGTTATTAAGAAGCTATATAAGTAAGCTTAACTATCTTACTTAAATAGCAAGCTTGTAGACTACAGAGTTATTATAAGAATATCACAGATATAATACTTAGTATACTAAGAAGATTATATAAGATATACAGTAACTCTTGTATATATTTCAGTAGAAGAAAAAATAAATCACTGACTTCTTTAATAAGAAGTCAGTATCTAGCTATTCTATATAAATAATAAGTGAATATTCTTCTCTCATTTCATGAGTGTGAATAGTCAGAGTGATATCTCAGCAGTGTCTCATTACCAAGAAAGAGTAATCTGCTGACCTTATATAGAAGTGAGGTTCTTATATTCATCAATCGGATCTTTCTATAATACATCCGAATGATGTCATAGAGTGGTTGGAAACCGGTTCAGACAGCCTGCAGAATGGATGGAATCATCCGCATGAAAGTGATGGGCCGTGTGGAACCGCAACGGGGCCTTGGCGCGGCCGGGAGCGTGACACTAAACATGAAATTCATGATCCCGGCGGCCAGTCTAATAACTACTGTCTTGACATATTATCAGAAATTCATAATATCTTCTATACAAGCTTACTCTACTGCACTATCACTGATCTGTTTCCTTCTCAACTGACTTTCAACTGACAGTTATCAGAGATTATAGAAGAAGATAATGAGCTTGAATAAGAGATTGAAGATATTCTCAGTGAGAGATCACACAGCTGCAGCTGATAATATCTTATAAAATAAGTCAGTTATAATTAACTGACCTAAACTCTGAGTGTTGTATTATCTGAAACAGCAGCTCTTAACTGATGAGAACTGCTTCTGAAAGAAGGAAACTAATGTAACAGGCTGTGCCTGATCAATTATATAGACTATTTCATTACACTTCACAGATTTCAATCACTTCATTCTTGAATGTATACACTCTGATTCTCAGTCATTCTCAATCACTGATTCTAAGTCATCACAAATGCATACACTCTGATTCTCAGTTATTCTCAATTGCTGATTCTCAGCTGCTATAAACATATATAGATTCTTTCACTTCAAAGCCTCATTATATATATTATTATGTATGTGTATAAATATTCACTCTGATTAATGATTTTCACACTTTCTCTTTCTTTTCTTCTCTAATGTTGTTATCTTTGTTATATAAGATTTATTAATATTATACTGATCTATTCAGTGTAGATCTCTTACAGATTCTTATTCTCAACTAAGACAGAAATTAAATACTTAATAAACTTTCTATTAGAAACTTAAGCAGCTACAAGAAAATGACTAAATTCAGAAATATTTAAATATGAAGAGAAGAAAATTAATCAGATATAGTCTGTTAAAACAGCTATACACTATCTTTTAATATTTTATTTTATTATAGTCTCTCTTTACTTTACATTTTCCTTTTTATTCTTTTCTATCTATTTATTTAATATGTCTATCTTTAAGACTATGTTCTCTTTTCTTTTATTATGATATTGTTAAATGATTTCAAAGTATCAGAAGATGTTAAAATACTGCAATTTCTAAACAGTTTTTATATTCTAAGCTGAAATTTTCTGATTTTATATATCTAAAATTGATAAATGTATAATAGTTGACTTTATAAATATAGAACAATCCCTGAGAACTAAAAGTTCTCAGACAGATATCATAGTCTCTGACTGTATACATCTATAATTAAATAATAATAATAATAATAATAATAAACTATACTTTTAAAGAGAAGAGTATTATTATATCTCTGACTATATTAATACTCTGTTATAGTTTTATACAGTTCATTACTTTTCTATAAATGATTTTATTTATTTCATGAATTATTTAAACTGATTTTCAATCACTCTATAGTATTATTTAAATATAATATAGAAAGATCTGATTAATAAATATAAGAATCTCACTTTTATATAAGATTAGCAGATTACTCTTTTATAGTAGTAAGATATTACTAAGGTATCACTCTAGCTATTCTTACTTATAGAATATAAGAAGAGTATTCACTTATTCTCTATATAAAATAGTTAGATACTGACTTTTAATTAAAGAAGTTAGTAATCTGTTTTTCTTTTACTGAAATATATACAAGAGTTACTGTATTTCTTATATAATCTTCTTAGTATACTAAGTATTATATCTGTGATATTCTTATAATAACTCTGTAGTCTATGAGCTCACTATTTAAGTAAGATAGTTAAGCTCACTTATACAACTTCTTAAACAACTAGCTCTATATAATACTACTAACTAGTTATCACTTCAGTTTCATCATATTACATTATTATTAAAAGTCAGTATTTCAGAGATAAAAGATAATGAAGAATTTATTAAATTAAAATAAATAGATTCTGTAAATAAGTATTAACTCTGCTTTTCTTTATTCTGAAGCTTCTTTATTATCTTATTATTAAATTTCATACTCTGATAAAAACTGATCTTAGTCTTATCTTATAACTCAGAAATCTTCTTATAATAAGTAATTATTCTATTAATAAGTTATCTAGTAGAGTGAGTAATTTTAAATCTTGAGCTGAACTCTGAAGTAATAGATATATTACTTATATTAAGATGACTCTACTTCTTCTAGATATATAAAAACAAAGATAATATTCTTCATAAAGAGAATATACTTTTTCAAAAGTATATAAATCTACTAACTAATAAATTTAGAGAAAATGAAATATCTCTAATAAAAAGTAAGAGTCTTTTTAAAAAAGATAAACTACTCTTATCAAAAATATTGATACAATGTTCTAAAAAGAAAAACATGCTATTCAGGCTATAACCTGTAGAATAGTTTAAGGTTGTATTGACAGATCTATTCACAAAGAGCATAATATAGTGGTGGGTCACGTGATCTAGTGGGATCGCTAACCGCAACGGCCGTAACGGCCAACAGTTAGCGATCACCGACTGTGGAGCGGGGGCGGAAAAGTAAGGGAGAGGAAAAGAAAAAAGGGCTCAAATGCCTGTGCCAAAATAAGGGTGATAATATCAACAGGAGAGATGGGAGGTTCTGTACGGAAACATCAGGTTTCAAGATTTGTCCCTCCGAATTCAAACATCCAGCGCTTGACTCTTTGATAGTTTAACTACCAGATAAAACGGCGGGATCATCACAATCATTCATTTTCAATTGGACGTGATGTCAATTCCTCTCTGCTCTGCCGGTTGAAATTAAAATAAAAGTAAAATAAAAGTAAACATCTCGGTCACTCACTCGGTAAATTCTTCGTGTAATAAAATTAGAGTCAGGCATTCATCTTTGCCTCTGAAGCTTCCACAGGAGTCCCGTAGTCCCGGGTTATGCACATACATATTAGCTGATGTAAACCATATCCAAGTTACAACTCCGAAGTTACTCATGTTGGGCCCATTTTATAAAACTTACTGCCACAGATATACTAGGTATCGAGCTTACAATTATATTCCATGCACAAGCGGATGACGAGGAAATCAGAAGCATACTAATAATATATAGAGAACAGGTAGGAAGCGGAGAGAAGTATTTCACATAATGTCTCGTAATGTCTCGTTGGGCTCATTTCATGGGATCAACTCATAGCTCCCTTGCAGCTCAACAATCTTCGCGATTCCCCTTTTGTGAGCTTCCCTCTCCTGGATCCGACTCACATATTCCGTGAGGTAAGGGTGTTGTTCCTTGTTGATCAAGCCTCGCAGAACCCCTGCCTCCAGCGGGAAGCTCATCAAAATGTCCGAACCCGTGAGGATGTCTCCGCAGAGGAATAGACCCTTCCCTGGCGATGATTTGAGTTGGTCTTCTAGGAAGCTGAGGTTCGTCGCCAGGTCTGATTTTACTAAAGCCGAATGTAGTTGAGAAGCTATCATTTTTGTTACCGGTCTGATGAAGAAAGGCACGGGCGCATCTCGAATTCCTTTGGAGTCTTGTCAGCCATTGTTTTCCCCAATTAATCCGGAGTATATTAAACCCCCTTACCTTCGACAATGAGCATTCTCATCAATAGGCCCATCAGAGACCTTCGGCATAGTGCATGAAGTACCGATCACGCCGCCATGATTCTGTCTCACCCCCTACTTGACCTTCCTTCCCATCAATATATCGCTGAGGAATTAAATGCGGGCCAAAATGGTCGACTAGATACTCGACGATAGTAGCAGATTCGCAGAATTCCACCACAGTGAGCTCTCGACGATATGACTGAGATTTCCCTAGAAGGTGATTTCTCAGCTCGGCGCAGCAGCATGTCTTGTCCCGTTTGAATAGTTTATCTGATATGATAACTAGCTCTTCTAGAAGCCAGATGATGCGTGCGCGCGGGACTTTTTCCAACCTGTTGCACCAGTCAGTCAAGGAAAAAACGCCGACTTAAACAGTGCCCAGAGAAGCAACATAAAATCCAAGTAGACTGTAATCTTCACAACACTATCTAAACCGGTCGCCATCTTGGCAGAGCAAACCACATTCGAGGATTCCTAGCTCTATGGTCTTATTCCACCGAGGGATGTTAAGTTCGCGCGAGAAAGGAAAAAATGCGTCTATGTAAATAATTGTTCAGCAATATGGGGATCTTCTGCTTGAGTTCATCAGCTTTGATGTCAACTAGATCTCCCCTAGCTAAAAAAAAAGAACGAAACCTGAATGTTGCTGCCTACGTAGGTCACTGATGAATATTTTGGATACGACACTAGTGAAGATTTCAGGAAAATAGCACTCACTCTCTTCCAAGTTCTTGACATCGCAGTAGCTGTTAAAAAGCTCCACCTCTGTTTGACATCTGGACAGCTTCAGAGGAAGAAGCTTGATTATACATATAATAATATCACCGATGTTCGCAGTCTTCCCGCCCATATATATATGTAAATATATGAGACAACTATACTACGTACCTTAGTTATACTCAACACATAGATTCCACAGCATGAAACACTGAAAGCTGATTGTTCAAACCGCCTCTGCAAAGTTGTGCCACTTGACCTCATTACATAATCATGACCCCGACCTTGTTGGCCGTTCCGGCCCAGGAAGCAGAAAATGTTGGGGGTCCCGCGGTTGGTCGGCCCTTCTACCAGCAGGCGCTGGTGGTGATTGAGCTCTTTTGTCCCAGTAGCCTACAGATTATGAGACTGTTAAGCATGAGCCCTGCTGTGATCAACATGCATGGGTTCAATCCCAGAATGAACTTAAAAATTTGTAACAAATACTCTGAAAATTTTAACAGTGTTAAGAGACATCTCAGAAGTGTGTTCTAGAAGTTTCATGAGCTCTAGAACTGACTGAGTTCACTATTAAAAAAAGAAGTCATTGTGAAGAGGCCACTGAAGAGAGTCACTGAGAGAAAGTACTGTACTCTGTGATAGCTGGTAGACTGACCGTGTGACCATGTCTGAGACCAGGATCAAACTTTACAGTTGTCATGTTGCCTAAAAGCATTACTTCTGATTATGATTTGTATTCATTATATTGATTTCAAATCACATTATTTCAAATATTAAAGATCTCAGATTCACTTTTCAAATAAAAATCTAGTCTCAGATAAAGAATATGTTTGAATTCTTAGTTATATTTTCATTCTGATCTTATTATTGAAAATGATATTAAATGAAATTATGAAATCATTTCTCACTTATATAATATCATAATATAGTACTCATTTGTTGAAAATTCAATAGAGAGTGTTATTAAATATTATTACTTTTCTAAATAAAATTATAATTAATATCATTTTAATTAAAAAAAAAATATAAAATATAAAAAATAACAAAAAAATAAAAAATAAAATAATAAGAAAAAATCATAATAAAAAAAAAAAAGAGAAAGAAAAAAAGAAGAAAAAGAAAAAAAGAGAAAGAAAGAAAAAGAAAAAAATAAAAAATAAAAATAAAAAAAAATCAAGATTACAGAGTCACAGTACTTTTAAAATACTTATTTCTCAGAGTCTTTATAATATTCATCATCAATTATATATCTCTTATAGTGAGAATAATATAACTGTAATAAGTTATTATCTTAATATCATCTAATAAATAATCAGTATATATCTATATAAATGTAAATAATTAGAAAATATACACTTAAAAAGTGTGATCAGAGTAAACTCTGCTATCACTTGAATAATATTAAGAGTAGAATACTGAAATTAATGATTTTTCTCATTAATTTCACAGATAAGATATATGAAGATAATCTTAGAAAATATAAGATTCTCTGACTTCTGATAGAAACAGATCTCATAGAGAGACTCTATTTTCATTATATCAGAGACTGAGTATTATTAAAAAGTATTACTTTAATATATATATACTTACTGTAATAATTCATTCTCTGTATATATAGCTGAGAGTTGTAACTTTCTTATATTACACAGCTCTCTCTGAGATGCTGCTACTGATTTACAACTCATACAGTCTCTCAGTTCAGTATACACTGTGTATATACAGCTCTGCATACTGAGGCTGTGTTGATTATTATAATCTGATATAATACTCACTTTTCACAGACTATGTTTTATTTAATTGAGAAAAGAGAGAACACAACTGCTGTTTTATTTAAGAGAAGATGAGTAATTAAATCTATAGAAGATAATTTAATTTCTTCTATATTTAAAATTTAATTAGTCTATACTCTTTAATTTAAGAGTTTCTGAGAGTGTTTTAATAGTTTTCATATTAGCTTGAAATTAGTAATTGATTGAAGAAGAGAAAAGAGAGAAGAAAGAAATAAGAATAACTTATCTTTATAATATAAAAATAGAGAATTGCTGCAATCATTTACTCTAGTAATAAAAATCTGTTTTGTGTATATATCTCTGATATAGATTATATAATAACTGTATACAAAGAATATTAACAGTACATGTATTAAATGAAGATGATATTACTATACAATACTGTAACTGTTTCTGTATATCACTGAAAGCTGTTAATATTTTCTTTAAGTCTCTTTATATTTGATAAGTCAGTAATATATTTTAATACACTCTCTCTTTTATCATTATTATTATTATTATCATTATTATTATTATCATCATCACTATTACTATTATTATTACTATTATTATCATCATTATTATCATTATTATCATATCATTTCTGACTATCTCTTCTGTCTTTATCTCTCTTCAATACTCATTGAAATTAATTATATTATCTCTCTTCAAATATTCTGCAGTTCTGCAGACTATCAAGGCATGTGAGCATTATTATAGATTGAAGAAAGAGAAGAAGAAGATGTTTAAGTAAGAAGAGACAGATTATAAAATATATTATAATATCTTGAAGAGACTCTGTAAGAGAGCAGAATAATAACAATTTTAAGTAACACTTCTAATAAATTTAGACTGAACTAAGTATAGAAATAATATGAATGATACTATCTATAAGAGATTGAAGAAGAAGATAGTGAAGAGTCTTATACAGCAGTGATAGAATCAGAAGAAGTCTCAAGAATAATTTAAGACTAAGATAAAGAGAGAGAGAGAGAAGAAGAGTGTTACTATAAATAAATAGTGATAGAAGAAGATTAAGAGAGTATTAAAGTAGAAGATAAAGAAGTTAAAACTGATAAGTTTTTTATTTATTAAGAGATAATAATTTTTAATAACACTTCTATTCTCTAATTGATTAGCAGAAGCTGATAGAGAAGAAGAGAATTAAGACCTTGTTCAGATCTTAAATATGCTTCATAATTCAGAATATTGAGAAGACAGCTCTACTCTCTGAGTATATCAATCTGCTTATTACTGAGATGAAACCTAAGACAGTAGATCAGAAAATGCAGGATTTTAAGATACAGATTAATCTGACTAACAGAAAGCAGTGAGAATTCTTCTCTGAGAAGGCAGTAGAGAGAGATTTTAAGATGATTATTATCTCAGATGAGAAGAAGAAGAAGAAGAAAAAGAATAAAAAGTGAATTATAAAGAATAATAAGAAGAATGAGAAAGAGCAGAAAGATAATAAGTAGAAAAAGTTTTTTTCTTTTTATATTAGTTAGTTATAAGTTCATAATTATTAATAATTGAAATTAATTTTGAGTTTTTAAAAATTATTGTACAAGTTGTAATCAAGTCAGAAATAATATATATATATATATATATTTAACTATCATGATTCACAAATCACTATAATGTATATGTCAGGTCACGTGATCTGGCTTACTAATCCTTTCACTATATAACTTCTCACAAAGCTAGCAACCTTTCAATCACACAAGCTTTACACCTTTCACAGGATATGAGACCCATTTTGTGCAAAATCACTGTCAATTCGGGATTCCTTGTCAATATACTCATTATTTAACTACTGCTTCATTTGATACACTCATCAGGAGTTAAAATCATCTTATTCTATCAGTATTGATGTGTTTGAGATCTTGATGATCAATAATACTACTGCTCACTTAAAAAAGAGGCTTGCAGAAAATGCATCACATTTGCAAAAAAAAAAAAAAAGCAAGAAAAAGAGAACAATATTGGCAAAGATTCAATAAACTAATATCAAGAATCCAATAAATGAATATCAAGATGGTGGATTCAATACAATCTCACTCACATACACATTCGCGATCTCGCGTCCTTTTCACTGAGTCAGTTGCAATTGATGATGATAATTCTTCACACTCACACTCTGTCAGTGAACATTCTTCTGAAGCCTTTGAAAGCTTCATTGACAAAACACTCTCTCAATTTGAAGCTGGTTTGAATACAGCTTCTGACACGGTCAGGCTGACCCTCTGATCTACTCAACAGCTTGATGCTGATTCTCTTGATGAGAATAATGAACACTCAGATATCTACTATTCAGGTGAGACAATATCAAACCAACAGATAAAGTATCTCAAGATGACACTTGAGATGAATAAGAGGAAACAAAGAGTTCTAGAACTCAAACTACAACTGGAAAAACTCTGTCAACAGAGATTCTCTACAGATTGATCACAGAATATCAACAATCATTCTGTCATCACATCAACAGCCACATGGAATTCTAATCTCAGTGAAAGGTTGGAATTCAACCATTATGAACTGAATAGCTGTGTTGACAAGGCAATCTCCTAATTCAAGAAAGATGTCAAGAATACTGTGAGATCAAACAGTCTAACTGACACATTCAATTACACCACATGAAGCATCTTCATGAAATTGAAACTGATTGATGCACAGTGTTGATATATGATAGAGAAACAACAGACTCAGAACCCTCTACAAAGAGATGACAAATGAGCACTATTCTGAGACATCAGAAACCAGTGACTCTACACATTCATCTTGAACTTCTTGAATGCAGATGTCAGACCACATTTCTTCAAATATGATGAAAATTGAATTGCTTATACTCTATGAAATGCGATTAAACAGAAATACTCTGTTCTCAAAACACAGTTACACTGTGAGACAGTTCTGAAATTCATGTCTCTTGATAACACACAGGTCATCAATCTACACACATTCTTTGATAAGTTTCAGTCTGTCATTATGAAATTGAAGATGTTGAATGCTTCCCTCTCAGATGCATGAATATTTGATACCTTCTACTCAGTTCTACTCAATAATTGAAGAAATTATGTTCAGAAGAAGATAGAGAAAATACAGGATTTCAAATCCACAGCTGTGATATTGAATGTTGATCTTCTCATGAAGGAAATCTGTTCACAGCTTGATTCTTCAAAAGATAAAAAGAATCTGTAGAATATAGATTCTGCAGTTAACATAGCTACAACAGCTACAACAGCTACAATGACTATTAACAACAATACATTGAATTCAGCCTGTGAAGGCTGTACTGAACATGATTATAGTAGTACTCAAGAGAGCTCTTAAAACTATCAGAGATCAGGAAATTCACCTATCTGTTCTGAATGTGAGAGATCTCACTTTAACATCTGTTGATTGATCAATCCAGACAGTGCTCTGAATAATTGAAGGATAAACAATGCTGTGAGAATAAAGGAATTCAAGAAAAAGAAGAAAAAGAATAATAGTAAGAGTAGAACTCAACTATTCATTACAGATGAATCAGACACCTATCAGATGACAAATCTCACAGAGGTTATCAATGTACCAGCCTGTTTCATGAAACCTCACAAGAATTCCCTCACTATATGAGATAGTGGCGCCGGATGCTACATAGTGAGTGATAGATCATGATTTTCAGAACTTATAGCAATCAATGATTCAACAGTTCAAGTGATCAACAAGGCCATTATGAAGATTCAGAGTGTCAGCACTGTATTCATTCTAGTGAGTGAAAGA